TGTAATGCTCACCAGAGTGTTAGCTTCTTGAGAGAAGGATCCAAATTTTAGTCTAGTTTTTATCCTAGCTCCCAGCAGAATCTGGCCTAAAATAGGCATTTAATAAATGTTGGTTGAATGAAAAAACGGAGGAGTCCAATGATTCTGAATCCGCCCCCATTCCTTCCTTCCTTAACTTGAGGAAGACTGAGCAAGGGGCTCCCGTGAGGATTTCCTTGGACTGCTGATGCCCCTTATCTGCCACACACTTTTGTTTAGTTCCTTGGCCTTCCCCCAAGCCTGGCCCAGTGTCCATGGCGCACCACCAGAGGGCAGGGTGTGACCAACCTTGCCCTGGTCTGCATTTTCTCCTTCTCAGGGCCCTCTGGGTCGGCCCTTGGATATCTCACAGACTCCTGCAGTGGATGCTGTGGAGTGCCGCCCAGATCTTCCCTTCAGGATCATGGTGCTCACTGTCCCGGCCGCTGAGTGTTGCCCACTGATGGCTCACAGCTGAGTGCTTCCCTGAGCACTACCTGTGGCTGAAGGCAGCTATCTTGCCAAATGCAACATCCCTTTCCTGGGGCAGTGTGTATCCAGTGACTGGGTGTTGCAGGGGTACAAAGGCCTGCCCCCTTGCCTCAATTTGGGACAACTCTGAAGGTCCATCCCAGCTCCAGAGCTCTTATGGGATCAACCGAAACATCTGTTGCAACTGCAAGGCATTTCAACGTTTCCCTCTCACTCCCTTGGACAGTCTTCCCCAATAAACCACCTGTACACAAGTTTCCGTCTCGGAGTTGGTTTCCAGCTTAAGATAACCCCCAAACTCAAACTCAACTTGGATACTGCAGTAACCCTCTTATCTGACTCTGATTCCATTTTTGCCCCCCTCCACACTAGATCCAAAGGGATCTTTCCAAACACAATCTGATCACGTCACGTCCCTGCTGAAAATCCTTTAGTAGCTTCTCACTGCTCTTAGAATAACGCCCACATCCTCAACTTGGCCTACGAGGCTCTGCATGATCTAGCCCCTGCCGACTTCTCCACCCTCGCCTACCACCATTCTTCCCACCTTCCTTGGTTTCCACTCTCTGGCTACATTGGTCTTTTTTCAGTTTCGTGAACATCTCTACCTCTTTCCTGCCCAGAGTCTTTGCGTATATTGTTCCTGCAGCTTGGAATCCTCACCTTCTGCACACCTCCAGGCATGGTTACTTCTTACTCACCTGACCAGTCTCAGTTTAATGTGACTTCCTTAGGCAAGCTGTCCTGCAATGCCTCCCGCTCCCATGCCCCGGCGTTAGATTAGGTCTTCACGAAATAGATTAGGTCTTCACGAAATACAATCTCATAGCACCCTGCCCTTCTCCTTCATAGCACTCGCCTCAGTTGCAACAGTTTCTTTTCATGTAGGCCCATCCTTAACATATATAGGGCTTGGAGCAGGAGTACAGATTGAGGCTCACAAACCTTATGTAAAATGTATAACTCAAGCTAACAAACTGTTAAATAAAATATGTTCTATTCTTCTACCTTGACAAATAAATATGTAATGGTCTGGACTTTGGTTCAAATTTGGATTTTATTTGGGATCCCTAGGATTCCACAGCAGAATGCAGTGGTGTGGGGAGAGGCAGCTTTCGGCCCCTGGCCCTCGGACCCACTTCTTATCGCACCTCTGACACCATAGTGTACTGTGAGGGGCCTCATGTGCCCACGTGTGGACCTCCCTGTCTACACATCCCAAATCTGCCCACAGCCTCCTGCAAACAGCCACCCCTTGGCCACCCATTGGGTCTAGGGATGTGTGTACAGGTAGTGTGGTCCACTCTTGGGAGGGCAAACCCTAGAAGTGGGCTTGGGGCCCGTTGGGCAGGGAATTCTTAGGTGTCTGGAGTGTGGTCCAGAAGGGGATAGGGATGTGGGCAGAGGAGGGCTGGACTCCTCACTCCATGGTACACAGCCAGAAGAGGGCCAGAGTGGAGCCTTCCAAAGCACAGGGCCCAGGGCAGGGGCCACTCTTGCCTGGGGCCCAACAGCAATAAATTGATGTTTCTCTGTTTTAATCTGTAAGTTCCATGAAGGGAGGGCTAGTGTCAGTCTGATTTACTGAGTTGTCTCAGCCTAGCACAGTGCTGGTACAAAGTAGGTGTTTAATAAATATTCATCAATTGAATGTACAAGGTTTGAGGATTTGGATCCATTTGGATCCCTCACTGAAGATTTAGATACGAAAAGCCAGAACTGGGAATGATAAAGAGTCTTACAGGGTTCTGAAAATGGGGGTGCAGGACAGAGGAGATGGTGACGGCATCCTGGATTACTGACTGTCCTCTCTCCTCTCTTTCCTCTTTATGTTGTACCCCACTCCTCCAGGCCCTTTGCCTGCCTGGCTCTCTTTCCCCATGGTCCAGCATCCCTCTGTCCATATCTTTGTACCTTTTTGTCCTTTGGCCACTGCTCTCTCTCTGTGGCCTGACCATCCACCTGTCTATTCCTCTGGATTTGTTTCTAGTGTTTGGTTCCCAATCTTACTTCCCTCTGGCCCTTTTTTCTTCTATTCTTTCTTCTCTTCCCTTGCTCCCATGACCTTTCTTGTTACCCTTTACTCCCTTCCTGGTTCCCTCCCCGAAGCCCTCCTCTCTCTTAGACTTCCCCAGGGCTGTTTGCCCAGCTCTTCCACGTGCCTACATCCCTCTGCCTCCTTCTGTCCAAGTCCCTGGGGAACCCCTGACTTGTTCTGCCCTCTATCCCAGGTCTATACTTGCTGCCTCCTTCCCTAAGTCTTCTTGCCTCCCTTCCTCTGTTCTGTCATTCCCAGAATCCACCTGGCTTCATCTCTTTCATGCCTATTCCCCTGTCCCCAGATGTCCTTTAGCCAGTCAGTCTCAGCTTGCATTCCCCCTCCCCCTAGCCCCGTCACCACGAAGAGAACCCATTAACCACCTCCTGGGTCCCCTCTGGCTGCCGCAGCCTGCCTCTGTGTCCTTGATCCTTTCCCCTGGCCCAGCCCTCACTCCCCGGACTCCTTTCCCTGGTCAGTGGTGCCTGGTCTGAGCCCTGAACAGCTCAACTCGCCTGAGCTTGTTTAGTCTGACTCCTTTAGCTCATTAGCAGCTTAGCCCTCCCACCTCTCCTTGAGCTCTCCAGTAAACAAGAGGATCAGTGCAGACTTGACAGCTGCTGGGGGGCAAGTGTCTGGCCAGGCCAGACCAGGCATGAAAAAGGGGCTGCATTCAACACTTCCTATTCCTTCTTCAACCGGGGAAATTCTGGGGTCTCTTCCTGGCTATTTGCCTTAGACTCACATTCCACAGGCATGTGTGTGGTTTCCCTTTCTCCGTGATCCCCATTCCCATTTTGTGGCCTTGTTCCCTTGGGCTTTTTGGTTCTTCTGCAAAAACAGCACTAGATGCAGGCAATCACACTGAGAAGACTTTCTACTGGGGTAATGACAATGGTCTCTGCTCCATAAAATGGAGGCCAGGTGTGGGAAGAGAGAGATGTCATCTGATCTAGATCTTCTTACATTTGTGTAGAGAGCATGGCAGGAGAGACCACACACACAGACACACACACACACACACAGACACACACACACACAGTGTCACACAACAAGGGAAGCTGAGTTGACCTTAGGCATTCTATAGAGCAGTGGTTCTCAAACTTTAGTGTTCATCGAAATTGCCTGGAAGGCTTATCAAAACACAGATTTTTTTTGACCGCATCCCCAGAGATTCTGATTCAGTAGCCTTGAGGTGAGACCACAGAATGTACATTTCTAACAAGTTCCCAGGTGATGCTGCTGTTCTGGGGACCACACTTTGAGAACCACTGCCTTAGATCATCTGAATCTACTAGCTTTTCACCCAACACCTAAGGCTGGGACCAGGTTAATTTTTATAATTGATGATCTTTGGGGCTGATGGGCACCCAGGTCTCTCTTTGGGCTGGGAAAGAGGACCTGTTAACCCCATGGGAGTGTTTGGGTGTCCTCAGAAGATAGGGAATAGCCTTTAACTCTTGGAGTTCTATTCTAGCACAGACCTTATTTAAACAGCTTCAGACAGGTTTAAACAACTCCTTGGCTAATTCCTAGTATCCCTGTTCCAACTTCTACTCGGGGATGATAGCTCTAAGAGGTGTTAGGGGATTAGGCTGAAAATGTAGGTCAGCCTCCAGCCATCTGGGAACCAGGATGAGTGACAGAGGAAAAGGGAGGGACAGAGACACATGGGGGAAAAGGTGAGAGGAAGCAGAGGGCATCTGAGGGCAGTTACAAAAGTGTCTCAGATGGATTGGTGGTGATTAGATTTCAGTGTCCCGAGGTGGCCCAGAAGGAAGCAGCAGACTTCCCCATTCTCCCTTCTCCTGCTCCTTCTCCCCAGCTGGGCTGCCTGTCCCAGGGCTGAGTCAGCAAGAGTGGGAGAGACTGAGGATTGGATGGCTGAGTCCTGGAGACTCACCGTGGGGAGGGTTGCTCTGTGTGGGGAGGGTTGCTTTGTTGCGATAGCTGTGAGGGGCATGAGACCAGATACAGTGGGAGTGAGGCAGGGGGCAGAAATGTGAAGATTCCTGGAAACAGGAAACAGACTCAACAGGGCAGGTGAGAGTGGATTCAGGAGAGCTTGTACACCCCAAAACATTGACAAGGGGCTGCAGAGCCTTGTCTGGTCCTCTTTTCCAGTCCCAGGCTCTCAGTCACCCAGGGCTGAGGGTTGTGTTCACATGAGGGTGGTGGTTGGGCCAATGCGGCTCTCCATACAGGGAAGCAGAGCACATGTGCGTCAGACTATCAGTGTCGAGCTTTGTTGGGGAAGATGCCCCCTTTCCTTCCTTGAGAGCAAGCATACCTGTCTTCTCCTCTCATTCCACGCAACCCCCCTGGCCAATGAGATATGCAAATGATCCCCTTATCTCATTGGCTGGAGGCCTGAGGACCACAGATGACCTCAGAGAGCTGGCCCTTTAAGAGTGCCCTTTGGGCTCTGTGCCCACAGCCCCCTGTTCTGAGCTCAGAGGCACCAGGCCCCGCTCGATGGGGCCTCCAGTCTCTGGGGAAGCTGTGCCCACCTGGCTCTGACACTGACCACATCATCTCCGTCATCCCTAAAGTGAGTATGTCCAGGGCCCACCTGGGTGCCAGGCCTCTCACCAAAACCCCCTCCTCCGACGTCTGCTCTCTGTTGCCTGTTTTCAGGAGTCCTCACACTTTTGTCCCCTGCCCCACTCCCACCCTGACTGGCCTTATGTCTCTCACTGCTCTCACTTCAGAAAGGTAAACAACCCCCTCACTTATCTCTTCATCCAATTCTCTCTGGACACCTCTCTCAGTGGCTGGCTATCTCCTCCCTGCCAAGGATCAGTTCCTTTAATCTGTGTCTTTGTTCCCAACCCCTCTGTCCTCTCAAAGGTGAGGAGCTCAATAGATGGGCAACAACCCTTCCTTGGTTCCCTGGGACAGGAAGAAAGAGAAGCCTGGTCCTTCCTCCCACCTCTCTGGGCAGAGCCTGGGGGTCTGAGATGTTGTTGGAAAGAGGGCTGCCTAGGCTTGGGGCATCAAGATGGAGCCAAATGCTAAGCCCTGGGGATGAGCACTCCCTGTCTTGCCCCTTCTGGGGCTGCTGGTGGGGCTGTTGGAACTGGGAGTTGGGCTAGAGTTCGGGACTTGCAGCCTGGGAAGGATCTCTGAGGTCATCTAGCCAGAGGTTCCTAGGTGAGCACCTGCTCCATGGCTGATAACAGGGAGGAGAGCATCTTGGGGACATAAGTTCAGGACACTCTGTGTCAAAGTCAAACAGATGGTTTACTGAAGGACTTCTCAGATTAATATGCTGCTGTGCTTTGTGAATCTGCAAGAGATGGGGATGGAGGCAGTATTTCTCAAAATTATCTGAGCATAGACCTCTTCTTGGGTATTTCTCAGACTTAGTGTTTCACAGAACACTCTTTGGGAAATGTTGAAGTCTAACTGCCTTCATTGAATAGAAGGGGAAACTGGAGTCAGAAAGGGGAAGATGGTCTGCTCAAGTTCACACAGCAGAGCAGGTTCTGAACAAAGCGGGGAAAACCAGTCTTGCTTCATTCCCCTTGGAGCAATTGGCCTTGGGAAAAGGTTGTCACCACTCAGTCCTGATCTTTCTAGAACTGATTCTGGGACCTTTCTTTTTTCCTTGGAAAGTCTTTTGCTGCTATAAAAGGGATTCATTAATTGATTAATCCATAGAACAGATGTGCACCGAGGGTCTTCTGTATGCAAGGCATTGCCCTGGGACTCTGAGATACAGAGAGGTATCACAGCATGTTATCCTTATATATTAAAATTCACAGCATATGTGCCTTCCCATTGTCCTAAAATATACACATATTCTGTCACAGTTAATTAAGCAAATTTTTTTAATTGCTCGGAAACGAAATTATGCCTCTTGAGATGACAGAGCCTCTCAGCATTTCCCATCACTAAAGTTGGGAGCACTGCCATATTCCTCTTGTTTTTCATAGACCCCAGAGGCACCAGTGGGGCCAGAGGCTGGTGCTATCCTCTTCCTCATTCAGGCCTTTAAGCTGCTTGCCACGGATCAGGAGCCCCTGCCACCTAAAATGTTGCCCCCCAGCCTGGAGGTGACTATGTAGAGAAAGGGCTGGACTATCACCCAGGCTTTCCAGAACTCTGGCTCCAGGGCACATGGGCTTTGCAGGAAGCAGGTTTTGGTGAAGGAAGCTGACAGGCAGCCTTCAGGTGCTCCAACCCTCTCCTCTTTTTTGCAGGTGCACGCCTCCCAATCCAGCCCCAGAATGGCACTGCCTCCCAGCCCCCTGGCCATGGAATATGTCAATGACTTTGACTTGATGAAATTTGAGGTAAAGCGGGAACCCTCTGAGGGGCGATCTGGCCTCCCCACAGCCTCACTGGGCTCCACACCCTACAGCTCAGTGCCTCCTTCACCCACCTTCAGCGAGTCAGGCATGGTGGGGGCCACGGAGGGTCCCCGGCCAGGCCTGGAGGAGCTGTACTGGCTGGCCACCCTGCAGCAGCAGCTGGGGGCTGGGGAGGCACTGGGGCTGAGTCCAGAGGAGGCCGTGGAGCTGCTGCAGAGTCAGAGCCCAGTCCCTGGTGAGGGGCCCCAAGCCTACTATCCAGGGAGCCCCGAGGAGACAGGAGCCCAGCATGCCCAGGTGAGTGATCAGTGAGCTGGTCTGAGGGGGGGCAGGCTGAGGGAGGAGGACAGCCCAAAAGAGGAAGGAGAGTTCCTGGAGGGGGTTACAGATGGGGAAAGAGACAGAGGGCAGGAGAAGAGAGGGGACCTTGAAAGAAATCAGATAGAGGACACTACATCCTGTGCCCTCCCTTTTTTCCAAACGGCGAGAAATGAGTGGGCTGAACCACGACGAAGAGGGAGAAAATAAGGTTAGAAGAGCACGGAAAGGGGGAGGATTGGGAATGAAAGGGTGTCGGGGAACGGTTGATTACGGGGAGGTAAATAGATACTCCGTCTGTGGACACCAGGGAAAGGGTTGTGCGTGGAACGGAGCGGAGTTACGGGAATGAGGTTGGCCTTTTCAAGACTTCGTGCTTCCTCAGCCTCCAACCTTCTCAGGAAGGATTGAGACTCATCCTATTAATTATAGACACAGATGGGGGTGTTGAGGGCATTAGGATGTAATCCAAATCCTTTGAGGGTCACACGGTTGCGGCCTTCAGGACAAGAGAGCGAGGCTCGTTGGAGGGGTGGGGTCTGTCTGGGCGCGGGTCCCCTGGACCCACGTGGGTCTGGAGCCTGATGCTGAGGACAGCGCAGAGGCGGAGCGGGTTCACGTGCGCGATTGGCTCGCCTGACCGTGGGAGGCGGGGCCTGCCGCGCGGGGCGGGGCCCAAAGGGCGTGAGTGCCACAGCCAGGACCGCGTGGGCCGGGGGCGTGTTGGGACCTGGGGCGGGGCTGCACTGCGAGATAGATTCAGTGGCAGGGCGAGTATGCAGGTAAAGGTGGCAGCCAGGGGTGGAGCCTCCCTGGGGGCAGGGCCAGTCTGTCGTCGCCATCCGAGTGTGGAGGGGGTAGGACCCGGCGCTGACCCGGTCTCTGCCCGCTCCCTCTGCAGCTGGCCGAGCGGTTTTCGGACGCGGCGCTGGTGTCGATGTCTGTGCGGGAGCTCAACCGGCAGCTGCGGGGCTGCGGGCGCGACGAGGCGCTGCGGCTGAAGCAGAGGCGCCGCACGCTGAAGAACCGCGGTTACGCGCAGGCCTGTCGCTCCAAGCGGCTGCAGCAGCGGCGCGGGCTGGAGGCCGAGCGCGCCCGCCTGGCCGCCCAGCTGGACGCGCTCCGGGCCGAGGTGGCCCGTCTGGCCAGGGAGCGCGACCTCTACAAGGCTCGCTGTGACCGACTGACCTCGAGCGGCCCTGGGTCCGGGGACCACGCCCACTTCTTTCTCTGAGCTGCTTGGGGCCGCGGAGTGGTGGAGTAGGTGGGTGGGAGGCACCACCCAGGAGGCAGCGGCACCATTCACCAGATGGTTACTGAGAGGCTTCTGGTGCCAGACACTGCCTTGTATGACCACACAAATATTCCCAAACTCCCTGGACCCTCAAGGCATGCTCCGAGGTTAGATGTTGATCATTTTCTGGGAGAGGGGTCCCCTCCCCTCACGCAGGCCGTGCACAGAAACTCTCCACCTCCTGCCCCATCCCACATGACCTGGACACTGAGATCTGCGGGAGCCAGTGCCAAGCACTCTGTGTGTGTGTGGAGCGTGGACGACGGCTGGGTGACACAGTGAATGGGAGGTGAGGGAGTGGTGCAGCTCCGCCCTCAGTTTAGATTTTAATTCAAGGTTTTCAACCTGTAGTGCATTAAGGTGGTAATTAGCAATAAGGCTGTATTTTCCTTTCGAGACTTGTAATCTCCCGATTTTAGGACTATTGCATTTTCAAGATTTCAATTCCCACTAGCAAGACAGACGAAGAACTCTATCCAAGAGGCTTTCTTTCTACCCAACCAGTGGCCTCCAGGGCCCAGAGCAGCAAAGGCTGGAGGAACTCTGGGGGTGGCTGGTGTGGACTGGGAGAGAATCCTGGGCAGAAGTCTGGGGACCTGGGCACTGTTCTCAGCTCTGCCACAGGATACCTCTGTCACCTGGAGCAAATCACTTGCTCCCTTTGTCTCGGTTACTGCATCTAATCGTCATTTGGATTGGATGACTTCTGACACTTTTCCAGTTCTGGCATCTCCTTAGTGTGGGAGCCCCCAAGACAACTTCACCAAAGGGATTTCCTGCCCTACTCTAGCTTCCTGACTGCACCCCAGGCAGTGGGTGAGCCCACGCACTGGTCCTCCAGACCTGCATAGGGTGCCCCTGCTACTCCTACCTCTCTCAGGGCTGAGGTGAGACTTGCCTCAGCAGGATGAGGAGCCAAGAGAATGCAGCTTTTGTGAATTAAACTTGAAGTCCAGGCAGAACTGTACGCTATTGGCTAAATGTTCTTGCAATTTAAGAAATATTCATTCTTTATCCTTGCTCCAGGCTTCTGTGTGTGTGTGTGTGTGTGTGTGTGTGTGTGAGAGAGAGAGAGAGAGAGAGAGAGAGAGAGAGAGAGA